CACAAGCTCAACACGGACCCCACCAAAAGGCCGGTGGTTCAAAAACGCCGTCTTTTTGGCCCCGAGAAGCAAGCTGCCATTGACGAGGAGATACAAAAGTTGTTACAAGCAGGCTTCATCAGAAGAGTGGAATATTCTGAATGGGTGTCCAACCCTGTGCTCGTCAAAAAGCCAAATGGCAAATGGCGGATGTGTATTGATTTCAACAACCTCAATGATGCGTGCCCAAAAGACCATCATCCCTTGCCAAACGTCGAAAAGTTAGTAGAACGGGCAACAAGACATGAACGGATGAGTTTTCTTGACGCCAGCTCGGGTTACCACCAGGTCCAGCTGTTGCTAGACGACCAGGAAAAAATGGCTTTTTACGCTGGTGACACAATCTACTGCTATGTCATGATGCCATTCGGCCTCAAAAATGCCGGAGCAACATACCAGAAGCTGGTGCAAATCATCTTTAAGCTCCAGATCGGCAGAAACATAGAAGTGTATGTAGATGACATGATAGTCACCAGCGTGCAAGCTAAGGATCACATTGGCGACCTGAATGAAACTTTTCAAAACCTGCGCCGAACACAAATGAAGCTGAATCCCTTGAAATGCACATTTGCTGTAGAGTCGGGAAAATTCCTAGGATACGTGGTATCCAAGAAAGGAATTGAAGTAAATCCAGAAAAGGTCGAGGCCGTTCAGCAGATGGAGCCGCCAAGGACTGTCAAAGACGTGTAGCGTTTGAGGGGCTGTGTTGCTGCGCTACACAGGTTTATAGCCAGGTCGGCAGAAAAATGCCTTCCGTTCTTCAAGGCCCTCCGAGAGCCCAAGAACTTTCAATGGACCGATATGTGTCAGCGGGCCTTTGACGAGCTAAAACAATACCTAGCATCAGCACCCCTGCTGTCCAAACCTGTGGAAGGGGAGAGTTTGTATCTGTATTTAGGGGTCACAACAGAAGCGATTAGCTCAGTCTTACTCAGGGAAGAGAATAAGAACCAGAAGCCTATCTGTTATGTAAGCAAAGTCTTACAGGGCGCCGAGCAGAATTACCCACTAGTGGAAAAGGCTGCTTTTGCCCTGGTTTACACAGCTCGTAAGTTGAGAGACTACTTCCAATCACACCAGATCGTTGTCTATACCGATTTGCCATTGAGGAAGATACTGCAAAAACCGGAACTCTCTGGTCGGCTTATCAGATGGAGCATCGAGCTGAGCGAGTACGATCTCAAATTTCAGCCGCGCACAACCATAAAAGGCCAGGCCATTGCAGACTTTTTGGTAGAATGCATCTCGGCGACGGAGGTAGACAAGGCGCTTGATTACCCAGCCTGGGTTCTGTATGTTGATGGAGTTGCTAACATTGAAGGGTCAGGTGCTGGGGCTGTGTTAATAGGCCCAGACGGCTTTAAATCTGAGCATGCATTGCGATTTAAGTTCCAGACCACTAATAATGCGGCTGAGTATGAAGCCCTCATCTATGGTTTGAAGCTGGCGTCCGAGCTGAAGGTGCAAAGCATACAAGTTTTCAGTGACTCTCAGCTCGTGGTGGGCCAAGTAAATGGCAACTGTGAAGTTAGGGATCCCCAGCTTGGCCGTTACACCTCTGTGGTCAACAGATTGAAGTCAAGATTTGCTTCATTTCAGATCGACAAAATACCAAGAGCTGACAACCACCGAGCTGACGAGTTGTCAAAGTTGGCCTCCTCGCGGGACTTTAACCCTCAGAGGTCAACCATCGTCGAAGTACTTGATGCCCCGAGCTACACTGATTTCACGGTCGAGTGTCAGCTACTAAGCACAGATCCCTCCACACCGAGCTGGCTACCCCACTCATAAATTATCTGCAAAGTGGCGAGCTACCTGCAGATCTGTCCGCTGCAAAGTTGATTAAACGAAGGGTGGCACATTTCACGTTGTTAGATAACCAGCTCTACAAACGAGCAACCTCAATGCCCCTATTACGCTGCCTTACTCCTTACGAAGCTGAATACGCTGTGAGGGAAGTTCACGAAGGAGTATGTGGCACGCACATTGGTGGCAAAACTTTAGCTCGGAAACTCCTGAGGCATGGATATTACTGGCCCACTATGGTCGAAGACGCGCAGAACTATGTCAAAAAATGTCCGACCTGCCAGTTCAACGCTGATGATATACACATGCCAGGTATCTGAGCTTGTTCTAAAGATCATGCAAACTTCTTGTTTGTCTATAAACGTAGCATAAGTATCTTCCTTGAAACAGGGGAAATGCTATCGTCCCTCACATCTCCCTGGCCCTTTGCTCAGTGGGGTGTCGACCTGCTCGGCCCTTTCATCAAAGGCAAAGGAGGCTGCACTTTCCTGGTCGTTGCAGTGGATTATTTCACTAAGTGGATAGAAGCCAAACCACTGTCCACGACAACAAAAAGAAAAATAGAAGAATTTTTGTTCAATTCAATAGTGTGCAGGTATTCTTTGATGACCGAGGTCATAAACTATATGCAAACGTGATTTGTAGCTCAGCTCGCTAATCTGTGTGCAGGTTCGGCATACCTAGGCGGATTATCGCCGACAATGGGCCACAGTTCCGAGCAGCAGCACTGAGATCGTTTTGTAACGATTATGGCATTGAGCTTGCTTTGACATCTGTGTACACTCCACAGTCCAATGGGCAAGCCGAGTCCGCCAATAAAATCGTCTTACGGGGACTCAAGACGAGCGTTTTGGCTGCACGTACTAATTGGGTTGACGAGCTCAATAAAGTGCTGTGGTCATGTCGTACTATTCCCAGCTCGGCCACAGGCGAAACCCCGTTCAGTCTGGCCTATGAAGCTGAAGCCGTCATCTCAATGGAGGTTGGATTGCCATCCAATAGATCAGATCGTCATGACGATCAGAATAATAAACAACTCTTAAGAGAGAACCTAGACTTTGTGGAAGAAATCAGGGAGATGTCCCGGATAAGAAACATCGCACATCAAAGTCGCGTTACAAAATTTTACAATAAAAGGGTTCGAGCTCGCTAGTTTCAAGTTGGCGATCTGGTTCTACGCAAGGCTGGGTTAACTAACACTCATTCACACATGGGCAAGCTCACTCCTAATTGTGAAGGCCCTTATATGGTGGTTCGAGTTAAGCGACCTGGCTCTTACGTGTTAGCAGATATACACGGGCATCAGTTATCTTACTTGTGGAACATACAGAATCTTAGAAAGTTTTACAGTTAACGAGTATAATATTATTTCGCTTAAAGTGTTATTCGACAGCTGTAAACAAAGATATACAGGAAATATAACAAAAGTTCAAAGGAAAATTCATTTTTGTATTTCATCAACAGTGTTACATTAGAAGTACATATGATATGAATCTATTGATCAAATACAAAAGTGCCAAAACAAAAATACAAAAGAATGAACCAAAAACTCCTAAGCCTAATCGTCCGTCAGGTCGACAGGCATGGACGCATCAGCCGTTGGGAGAGGCGAGGAGCGAGCCAGAGGCGAGCGCGCAGCTGGCTCGGCAGCTGGTGTTTCGACGGACAGCTCCATGGCGGGCTGAGAGTTGGCAGGAGTACTCGACGGCTCCTGCTTAGCAACAGGAACCCCCTCCACCCATCCATCAAACGAGGGCATACCCGCCGGGTCCTCCCCCTCTTCCAAAACTGAGGGAGGCCAGACAGGTACTCCCTCTTCATTGAGGTCCCACCTCAGCCGCACTGTAGTCTCAGCGAGGGGAGCAAGGCTCTTACCCTGCTCGTTAAGTTCCTCCCCGTTGAAGAATACCAGCTCGCAGATTGGAAAATCTGGGTGGTGGTGCAGCACCTTTCCACGAATCTTGTTGTAGATCTCCGTGGTCATGTTAGCAGACGCCACCGCCACTACGTCTTGGAAAGAGGAAGAGCCGACCAGCCACTCTGCCCCTTGAGCTCGGGCAATGCCTACAGAGCGTGCATGGTGAGTCTTCAGCTCGTTCAGCGCCTCCGCAGCAGTAGTGAGGTTCAGCTCGACGTCGGCGATCTGGCGCCTAAGGGAGTTCAGCTCATTCTGAGCCTGGTCCCTTTCCGCCTCGGCCCTTTTTGCGCGCTCCTCAATGAGCGGCCTCATCCTTGGCTGCCTGGATGCCGCTCTCCTTTTCCGCGCAAGCTCGCTCCAAGTCCTCCCTAAGCTCGTTGTTTCGGGTCGCCAAGGTTTCTGCTTGGCTCTCCGCCGCCGCTGCGCGATTGGCCATCTCCGAGCCTTGCAGGCGATTGACATCGTCCACAAGGCTAGCCTTCTCTGTGGCCAGTTGTTTGCACTTTGTTCCGAGCTCGGTGTTCTCTGTACAAGCCGCCTGCTCGCTCTCGTACAGTGCTACCGCGTAGCTGAACGCCTGCCAAACAGTTGTCACTGTTAGTCTCTGAAAAGAAAAAGAAAAAGCAAAATGTTCAAGCAGGTACGAGTAGGTACTTACATCCATCAATTTGATCATGGCAACCTGACCGCCATACTGTTGCACAAAAGCTTTGGCCCGCTTATTATCTGAGGGGGGGCACAAAGCTGTGCATGGCCTGCACCATGGCAGGCTGACACTCTGCCCGCACATAGCTGAAGCCCTCAGGATAAGCAATCCTGGGGCCCATCGAGGCCGATGCAGAGGTGGGCTCCACTGCTGCCTGCATAGTCGTTGACGGTGCGTTCGGTGAACGCACGGTTACAGGACGAGCCGCCTGTGCAGGCTGAGTCCCCCCACTTGTTCTGCGCCGAGAAAGGGGGATCTCATCCTCCTCGCTCTCTGTCTCCTCGCGGGCACGTCTGCGCGTGCCCGAGGCCGCAGCCTCAGCTTTGTGATCTGCTCGTGGCCTAGACGACGAGCTAGATCCCCTGTGTGACGAGCCGCGTGATTGAGGCGCTGGGGGTGGCCGCTCGTCAAACCGTGTTTACCGAGGTTGCGCGCTGCTCGCCCCACGGCCTCGGGAGCTCTGGGCACATTGACGCTGACATTCCAGTATGCTGCTCATTTCACCTGCACAAACAAACGCATAAGCCTCAGCTTGGCTAGAATGCATGTTATATGATGAAAATATACCTTCGCTGAACAGGTTTGTCACATCAACAAACCCGAACACAGCGAGCTGCTCCGAGGTAACCAGGGCTTCTAGATCTATAAGACCCTCCCTCTGCGCATACTCAAGCAGCTGGTTCTTCAGATCGACATCCCGAGGCAGCAGCTGGGGGTAGTTGATATGGGTGTTTGGAGTGCGCCATTCTGATAGCCAGGCAGCGAGGTCGTTACTTATCCTCTCTGTTCGCGTGTCGCGAACAAATATGAATTGCCTCTTCCACCTCGCCACTTTATTCCGGACATTCTTGAACAGCTGGCTTTTGTCTCTCCCAGAGAGGTAGTACCACTTCGCGCCTTGGGAGTTAGGACACAGCCGGCATTGAAACAGCGACCTGAACACGATCGCCTTGGCCGACACCTCTAATCGCTCACACAACAGCATAAAGCCGATAATGAACCTTATGCTGTTGGGCGTCAGCTGCGTCAGCGCCAGCTCGTAATTCGCCAGCAGATCGAACACCAATCCGGGCAGGGGAAACCGCAGGCCGGCGTCAAAGTGGTCCGCATACACTGGGATCCAGCTCATTTGCGACACTGTGCACGCCCTTTCGTTCTGCCCGCCAGTCCGCAACAATATGGTCCTGGGGATGTGGTACACCCTCACCATCTCCTTGAGTCTTTTATACCCACTTATGGAGGGCGCACAATCTGCTACTTCGTGATAAAGTGCAGCCGTGAAATTGAATCCAACGAGCAGGTCCTTTGGTGCTTTTCGTAGGTTACTCAACCTGCCCGGGATTGTCGTTCTTTCCCATTCCCCAATCGCCAGCCGATCTGAGACACTGCTCACCACCTCTCCCATTCCTTCTTCACGGTTGGGTGCCTCTTCAGTAGACGAGCTGTTGGACGACGCAGTACGGTGGTCGCCATCATCATCCCTGGCGCTCGAAATGGCGCTTCTCTCAGGCGCCATTGTTTCCGGTGAGTCCTGTAACTCAGGCGGCACTATCATCGTGATAGGCTCCACTGACAACCCCTACCTCTTCTCCCTCTCTGCCTTAGTTACCTCGTTGCTCTGTGAGTTCTCTCAATGAAACCATTTTTACCTGAAACTGGTGCGAAGTCGATTCGGTGTGCTGTTCTTCAAGCAGGAGCGTTTCGCTTCAGAGAATTTTAGGAAGTTTGAGCAAATACAGAAATGAAAATGAAAAGGGAAACGGTTACGCAGAGAAGGACATGGTAGTGTTAATTGCCGTACGCGTGTTTCTGACGCGCCAACTAGCATCCCACACGTGGCACACGCTTAACGTCCCTTCTGCATAACGTGCGCCGGCTTTAGCTGTCACGTCCCTCAAATGCTGAGCCAGCATTTATGACGGGGAAGACAGAGGGATATGGGGAGATCAATCGTATCTCCTCAGAGATTTGCCTGATTCAAAAAATCCAAAGATTCAGATCGTCACTACTGAGGTGTACTCTATACTATCACATCAGCTCGCCATTGCGAGCACACTTACCAGGTCGTCACAAACATGACATTTTGCCAGATCGGCTCAACAGTGACAATTCGTTCAACAGTGTAGATCTTTTGCTAAAATCCCCCAAGATTCAGCTCGTCACACACACACACAGGCCGCAAACCTTTGCATAAATCAAGGGGTGCCCCAGGTCGCCCTATTTGGCAGCACCACTTGTGCGAGCTGATAAAGTGGTGGTCAAAAAACTCAAGCCGTACTGAATGTGAGGTCGTGTCGCCTCACTCCGTGGTCATAGCTAACTGAGCGTCACCTGGTCGCACTTCGGTAGTACTCAAAGGTCAGGTCGTCACATGGACGAGCTGAGCGAGCGTTGCATCACATGCAAGCTCGTCTGTTGTGAATCACTTCAGCTCGCCGCCACAACAAGCCCACACTAACGTGGCTATGAATACCAGCTCGCCCCCACGTTTTCAGGCTCGCGACCTAGCCTCTTCTCGTTTTATCTTTCAGCTCGGCCCCCGTCGAGGGCGGCCGCAAGCTGTTAAACCTGTTTGGAATCCCAAACAGGGCTGGGCTATGGCCCAACAGCGTTGGCCCGTGGCTACACCCATCCCAGTTCGTCAACTGAACATTGGGGGGGAGTAATGTTGGAATACGCCCAGCCCAACACCCAAACAGGGCTGGACTATGCATAACGGGCTTAGGTTACCACCTATTAACCCAAGCCGAAGGAGCATCAGTACAAGCATACCCACGTGACCAACGCCACGTGGGCCAATGGGGTGCTCACACATGCAGATATATATCAGCACCAAGGGGCTATAAATACCCCCCAACTACCTCTGATGAAGGTAATTAATCTCTACACTTCTCTCTCTGCAACTACTCTTTGAGAGCATTTCTCTCTAGAATATTGAGTATTGCTGACTTGAACGTTGGAGTGTTTTCCCCGAGGAAGTATCCTCGGGATTTTCAGGTGTAGAAGCAGCTGAAGACTTCAACAGTGTTGGATTATGAAGCTGCCCGAACATTTAAAAGACTTCAACAGTGTTGGATTGTGAAGCTGCCCAAACACCTACCAGCCAAACAGAATTTCTATGCCTAAGAGTTGCCAGATCTAGCTAAATGCGCACTGAACTTCACAATGGATCAAATTCAAAACAGAAATACACTATTCACAAGAAGTTTTGACGCCGACATGAGCGAGAAAAGAGGCAATCTTCTTCATCTGCATAACCTTCCCTCCAGTGGTCCCAAAACCAAGCGGCGAGAGTTGATAAGGAAAGATCACCAGAAGTTTGAGAAAACTCCAGCAAAGAAGTGAATCGAGCATAGAACTCTTCGACGACACCACCGATGTTCCATCTGAGCTTGTTGTATCAAACAACTGGAATTGGTTATCGAAAGCCTAATCCTACAACCTGCCAAAAGGAATCAAGAACCAAATGGATGATAAAGAAAGTGACAATAAAGCAGAGGCAAAGCAACATTGGGAACGTCTGTGATGAAACCCAAATCTGGGTTTGAGAAAAACCCAGATATGGGTTTTTCTCAAAATTGTTACCAAAGGTAGGTGAAAGATTTACAGATCAGGAGAGTTCAAGATCTTGGGGAAACTAAGAACAGTGACTTGGCTCCTGGGACATCGGAAAATAGCAGAGTTGTTGATCGGTGTAGAACGAACTTCGTCGTCTAGGGTTAGCGTCGCAGGGACGCGTAAAACGAAAGACAAAAGGAATTGGTAGAAACGAAAACTCTTTTATGAACATTGTAACCAAAGAGAAGAACATTTGGTTTGCATACGTAAGGGAAGAGGAGAGGACAACAAACGTTGTTTTCGAGTTGAAGTTCTTGAGACAAACCCAGATTTGGGTTTGAGAAAAACCCAAATCTGGAGATAAAGAAAAATTTTTTTTTTCTGACTTGGATAAAAAAAAATAATCATTATTTTTAAATTAAATAAAAATACCCACTCATAAAAAAATATTACCAACTATGTTTTTCTATTTTTCACGTCATTAGTTAAGAAAAAAAAATTAACTTGTTGATAATTTAACGTGTCACATGTCATTTAACCGACGAAAGGATCATTTTGTATCAAAAATAAAAGTTTAAAAATAATTTTAATATTTTTTAAAAATAAAAAATAATTTTGATAGTAAAATAAAAAGTTAAAGAGAACAAAATGGTACTTAAACCTTTTTGAAATTGACTGCTCATCCATCACGTCAACGGTAAGGACCAAC